GGGTCCGGCCAAAGCGGCGCTGGATCGCATTTCACACCGCGCTCAGAAATGGAGCCGGTCTCGCCGCCGCCATGATTTTTATCTGAACGCAGAAAAAAAAAAAAATCTTGTGCGGATTGCATCTTTTTTTCCCCCCGCTTAGCTTTGGCAGGACAAATGTTGCTCAAACTTCTCCACTTGTCAAGCATGCAAATCTGGGCCTTCTGTTCAGCTCATGAATGCAAACACACGGAGTCACGCAAGCTGTTGACAAAGGCTCACCGCCCGCTATGCGTCGGATATTTTAGGTATCCGTACTGGAGCACCGAAGGTTAGACTAAAGGGAGGCAGCACAGTTCCCAACTTTGGTGAACCAAACATTTCATAGAGGCGCCCAGCCAAAATCTTTTTTTTTAATGGGGACAGATTAGAAGCCCTATTAGGAGTCACAGGAGCTGTTTGCGTAGGTCCGCTGCCCGACACATCGACTATTTTAGGCATCCGTACTGGGGCTCAAAGGTTAGACTAAAGGGAGGCAGCACAGTTCCAAACTTGGGTGAGCCAAACATTTCATAGAGGCGTCCAGCCACATTTTTTTTTAATGGGGACAGATAAGTAACCCTATCAGGAGTCACGTGAGTTGTTGGCGTAGGTTCACCGCCCAATACGCATGGGCTATTTTAGGCATCAGCATTTCATACGGGAGCCCTGAAGGTTGGACTGAAAGGAGGTAGCACAGTTCCCAACTTGGGAGAGCCAAACATTTCATAGAGGTTTCCAACCAAATTTTTTTTAATGGGGACAGATTAGAAGCCCTGTCAAGTTTTTACTGCTATCAGTAATATTTCCCTTCACTTCCTGCCATGCTGACAACGCATTCACCAGACAGGAAATGATGGAAAACCTGCGACCAGCTGTGAGTTCAGATTTCATTAGCATCGCGGTGGGGGAGGGGCATTTTGTAAAATTGGAGTTCTGCTTTATTGGCGCCCTGCTAGGGTACCAATTACACAGCTAAAGGTGGCCATACACTTTACAACCATCGCAAGACCTTAGTCTTGCGATGGTTGTAAAGTAATTTAAAAAACTTACGATCTGCCTATCTTGGACAGGCAAATCATACTTGCGATCATCGCAATCCCGCCCCCCTGGGGGGCGGGCTTCCGATGATCGGGCAGTGTGCGCGTGCGCACACCGGCCCGTTCGGCATTTGTCTCCCGAGCACTGTTCAAACCAGCCGAAAATCTTACAATTTTCGGCTGGTTTTCTAGCATGCTCCTTAGACAAAAGACGTGCGACCGTACAGTAGAAACGGTCGCACGCCTTCATTCATACTGCACGATTCTCGTACGATCGCGGGATTTCCCGGGATTCTCGTACGAGAATCGTGCAGTGTATGGGCACCTTCCCCCTCCATGAAGGATTCCAGTCACCTCACAAAGGATCAGTGTTCAGAGCCGGCCACTGCCATCCACAGAGCTGCTCCTATACAGAACACCGAGGCTCACGCAGGAAGGAAGTTGTTAAATAGCAAAACACAATTTTCAGAGTGAAAGTGACATTTACGTGCACCATAAAACTGGTTTTATGATGGCATAAAAAAAAAAATACACTTTGTATGTCTGTATAAAAAATGTTTTCCTTCAGGGTCAAAGTGCCGCGTTCTGCATGTATAGGCTGCCGGCGGTTTCCTGTGTTCTGGAGGAATTAGATCTCAACACTGCCACCGAATAAGAGAAGATGGAAACCATGACTGGGAGACGTTTAGTCTGCATAGGAAAAGCAATTAAAAAGTTGATCAATACACCTGTATGGTGTGATCGGGGCTCATAGAGAACAATTGTATCCTTGTATTGATCAATACACCTGTATGGTGTGATCAGGGCTCATAGAGAACAATTGTATCCTTGTATTGATCAATACACCTGTATGGTGTGATCAGAGCTCATAGAGAACAATTGGATCCTTGTGCTGACCAATACACCTGTATGGTGTGATCGGGGCTCATAGAGAACAATTGGATCCTTGCATTGATCAATACACCTGTGTGGTGTGATCGGGGCTCATAGAGAACAATTGGATCCTTGCATTGATCAATACACCTGTATGGTGTGATCGGGGCTCATAGAGAACAATTGTATCCTTGTATTGATTAATACACCTGTATGGTGTGATCGGGGCACATAGAGAACAATTGCCCCCTTCCATTCATCTGCGTTGATTAATACACCTGTATGGTGTGATCAGGGCACATAGAGAACAATTGCCCCCTTCCATTGATCTGCGTTGATTAATACACCTGTATGGTGTGATCGGGGCACATAGAGAACAATTGCCCCCTTCCATTGATCTGCGTTGATTATTACACCTCTATGGTGTGATCGGGGCACATAGAGAACAATTGCCCCCTTCCATTGATTTGCGTTGATTAATACACCTCTATGGTGTGATCGGGGCACATAGAGAACAATTGCCCCCTTCCGTTGCTCTGCGCAGATCAATGCACCCGGAGTGAACGAGTTCTCATTGTTCCAGCAGCAGATGATGACCTGGCCGTAGTCTGGGCGTTGCGGTGCCATGTTGGATGGATTCCATGCTGTCACCATTAGGAAGGGTCGCTGGCTGTAACAAACACGTTACTGTATAAAGGGTGAAGTAAGCGCTCGGTAAGTCCTGGCCTCCTTCCACCTGGCTGGGACAGGCCAAGGCACCGCGAACAAGGCGCAGCCTCTTGGCAGACCCTCA